AATATATATATATATATATTAAATTTAAATATATAAATTTGGAAATTCCATTCCACATATATAAAATATTTGAATTTCCCACACTATAAATCTAAAATATTTGGATTTCCCACACTTTAAATCTAAAAAATTTGAATTTCCGATGCCCCAAATGACCTAATTCTATCGACCAATATAACCCTTAACCTAAATAAAACTTATCCAGCGACAAAAAGAGAAAATTGTAGACGCCTCCATTGTTGCCGATCGTCGCCTCCTCAAGCGAGCCTTCCCCTGCTCGTCGTCGTTAACCATCTCCTCCCCTGTGAAGTCGCCGGCTGGAAACCGTCACACCCCACAACAACACCGTATATAGTGGACAAACATCTCCAATCTTTCCTCCATATCTCCCATTTTTGAACACACACGATTCTTCGTTAATCGCTCGTACGAAGCTACTATTGTCAAAGAATCTAGGGTTATGGGACCAGTTTGTATTACTGTAGTATGATTTCGGATTCTATGTCTGCCTTTCACATGGCTTTTTCTGCCCATACCAATCCAAACTAGTCAACTGAGGTAAAGCCACACTTCCATAATTCACTTTCTTTATATGTTACTTTCATTACACTTCAGTTCAATAACTCAATGGGTCGTGGTATGCATTCGCTGGTTTATTGATCTGTATGTTCCTTCAATTAATGTTTGTCATAAAGTGTTTGTAGTTTAGATAAACATCTTTACTGTTATTGTTTAGAATTTCAAGTGTTTTTGTTATAACTATTGGTTCTATTTAGGTTGTACCTCCGACGGATGCTGTATCAAGCCTTTGTTTAAATCCCAAGGTGAATCACCTTGGTGCTAAGCAATCCGATTGTGTTAATTTCACAAATCAGTTGAATAATTTGTTTTGAATTTTGTTTTATCTTGACATAGAGAAAGACTTTTGTCTCCTGTTTGTAATTGAAAGCTAGATAAATTCATGGATTACTATGGTTCTAAGTGAATATAGTTATGATCTTTAGTGAACTATTATGTGTGATCTGATGATTTCCATTATACTATGGAACAATTACAGGTGATTTCCATCATAATATAAAAGGAAGCCCTTTTTAGATAATTTTATACATAGTAGTTGAAATCATATTTACTTGTTGAAATAATTTTATATTTGCTGAAATCATCTATACTTTGCTAAAATCATGTTTATTTGTTGAAAATTGTTGTTTATAGTTGTTGAAATCGGATTTATTTGTTGAAATAGTTTTTAATTTATCTTTTATATTAAAATATAATTTTACATATATGTCTTAAATCTTTAATATTAGGCAAATACAAAACCCACCAGAAAAGTTGTTGAGTCTAAGACTGCCACTATCAATCCTGACATACCAACAGTTTCACCAAATAAACCCCTTCACCAGGTCAATGTTTTTTTACATGTTGAATATACATTTCTATCTTTTTGTTTCTGATTCTAATATTACTTATCATTGTAGCCAATCAAATGTAGTCTATCATATCCGTATAAAAGGAACATCGTTGCTCGTGGTATCGTTCACTTATCATCAGAAAGATAATTCATTCATGGAGTTCCTCTACAAGATGATTGCTATAAAGTTTCTATTGATGAAGTGTTAATAAAACATGCATTTCTACCCCATAAAACTGGAGAATTCACATTAGTTGAGGATGCATATAAAAGTTTTGTTCCATATATGGTCAAAATACCTTGTGCAAACTGAGTCAAAGGTTTGTTTAATTATGTTCACTACGTTGTGCATTATACTTTATTTTCTTCATAAAGTAGTATACTAAGTTTTTGATGAACTCATTTTTTTTTTTTGTTTCAATGTTGTTGTTATAGGTACCAGAAATTATATCACATCAAGAACATCAACATCAAAACTCAAAGAAAAGGAAATCAACTTACATATCATCGGATGCCCTTCTCAAGAAGACAAAGATCAATGTAAATAAGATGAATGCCTAGTTATGTTTAGGTTTTGGTTTATGATGTGTTTGATTTTTTTTACCATTATTTAAATTCTTGAAATTAGGACAATTTTTTTTTTGTATTTTAATTAGGAATTTAATGTATGGATTTGGATTTCAGTTATTACTAATATCAAATTATGAATTTTGCTTTTGTATCATATTGTTGGGTTTGATTATTTTAATTTAAATTATTTTGATGTGTCTATAATGTAGAAAAGGTAACAGTAAATATTAAATTAAAGTGACTTTAATATAAATTTGGCTATGTTTTATAGGTTTTCAATGTCTCTAAAATTATACAATGGTTACTTTACATCATTTTTTAACGTGTGGCTAAATGGTTAACAATAGCCATAATATACAAGAATTATGAGTCTACAGTTGTTTTAAAATGATGTTTATTTTAAAGTGTTTGTGACTAAGCTAAACAATAACATGAAAAACAATTTATATGGCAAATAAATACCATAATTTTGTTGGTGTGACGAAATACTAGCAAATCGTCACTTATAAATTTAATTATATGTGTCCATTTACCTAACATGGTCATGTTCACCGTAATTATATGTATCTAAAATATACCCAATAGTCTTATTACGATACCGAGTAGTCCTTAATTTTAACAAAATGTGTGTCTTTATAATACTTATGATTGTATTTCACTTAATTGTGTGTCTCTGTACGATAGGCTATAGTCACAAAAATTGATTGTTTTTTGTGACTAATTATTAACAATTCGCCACTTATGGAATTAATTATATGTGTCCATTTACCAAACATGGTCATGCTCACCGTAATTACATGTTTACAAAAGATACACAATAGTCTTAATAAAATTTAAACTATGTGACAATATAAAAGAAAAAAACTACACTAAAACATCGTGAATGTCGCAAGTTGGTGATATACAGTCACCACAGTTACTAAATAAATGTGTCTATTGATGGTTTAACACTACAATATTGGATATTTATGGAAAAAAATTTCGTACAAATTTGCCACACTTTTATAATACGGCCACATGTTTTCATCTCATACAGACACTACATTTTAAAGTGACCATAAGACCCATACGATGGCGTCACATTCCGTCACACTTTCAGTGAAAAAATAAAATGTCACTATATGCATATGGTCACACTTTTTTGGTGTGACTGTAATTCATTTTTCTTGTAGTGGTTGTGTTCTCACGCAAAACTGAAAACGATTGAGGAACGGACAGACGCAGATGCGGGGTCGGAACCTTCACCTGCTATAAGCAAGCAACGATCGGTGTATCATGTTGAGTAAACGACGGACAGGGATGTCACGCCCCCAAACCAAGGATGGCGGAAACGTCCGGGGGTGGAGGACTTCATGTATAGTATCATAACCACAATGGC